CAAAACAAAAACAGGGCTGCGGATAAATCTCTCTCGGGCCTTTCTGCAGAGGTGCCGGAAAAAGAAACTGAGGCACGCTGGCCGAAGCCCCTGGAGACAGAACTCCAGGCCAGCCGGGGGAGCGGGACCCTCTGAAGGAACCGAGCGCCAGCCGGTTTGGCGGCGTCGGCTGCGGGCCCGGCGAGCCGCGGCCGCAGAGGCAGAGCCCGGGCTCCCCGCGCCCCGCACCGCGGAGGCCCCCCGGGACGTGCGGCCGCCTGGGGAGAAGAGGGGGGCGGCCCGGCGCCCTCCAGGTGAGCGCCAGGCCCCAGGCGCGCCGGCCGCGGAGAGACGCCTGCTGCGACTTTTTAAAAACACACTCTCGCGGCGGCTGAGGCTGCTTCCTCGCGCATTTCCGGGCCCCAATTTAAAAAAAAAAAAAAAAAAAAAAGTGGCAGGAGCGGCACTTGGGGGCTCTCGCGGGGTCTGCCCACCCCCTGGTCGCTCCCCGCCTCCGGGACCCGGGCCGGGAGTGGGGAGGTGGAGCGGCGGCGGCTGGAGGGCGGGGGGGGGGGGGTCCCCGCACCCGGGGCGCACTCACCGTGGTGGGTCGGAGGGTACCTCTGCACCGTGGCCCTCACTGAGTTTCCGTAGTAGGAAGGGACGTGGTTGCCTTGACCGTCGATGTTAAAAAGTACATCCACCTCCTCGGGCAGGGGGTACTGCGCCGGGTCCATGTAGGAGTGGCCGAGGCCCGGGTGGTGCGTGTCCGGGTGCTGGCCGTTGAGGACCGCGGGGTGGTGGTGGCTCACCCAGCGCGGCTGGTCCGCCGTCACCTCCATGGCCCCGGCTGCGCTCGCGCCCTCTCGCCGGGCCCGGAACCCGCGCGCGGAGAGGGAGGGCGGTCGGGCTGGGAGGTCGGGGGGGGGGGGGGGGGGGGCGGGGGGGGGGGGCTCCGAGGCGCTGCAGGTGCTGCTGCCGTCGGAGGGGCGGGGGTCGTTTAACGATTTGCTTTCAGTGGGGCAATGTTGGAAAGGTGGGAAGGAAAGGCGAGCAAAGAAGGGGAAGGGGAGAAAAGTCTTTTAAGTGGTCGCTTAGCAAGGAGAAGAAGAGGAAGGAAAGAGGAATCCCCCAAAACCAGGGAGGGAGGGATAAAAGGGGACCGAATTTGAAAGCGGGGGGTGGGGGGCGAGCGAGGGTGGCTGGACTTCTGCAGAGACGAGGCTCCTCTGCGCCGGGGCTTCCTCAGCGGCTCCGAGGCCGAGGCTCTGCTCGGCTCACCTGCGAAGGAGAGAAGCGGGGAGACCTGGATGAGCTCCTGAGGACCGGAGCACCTGAGTTTATGAAGTGGCACCACCTCCCCGCCGGCCGCCCGGCCCCGCGCCCGCGCGCCCAGGACACGCGCGCACACACGCGCACTCGCGCACGCCTCCTCCCGAGCGAGGCAAACCCGGCCGCGGCCGCCCAGGGAACGAGTCCCGGGCACATCCCCGGCCGCCTGGCCCTGGCGAGGGCCCTGCCCTGACTGAGCGGATCCAGTTCGGCCGACGGCTCCCTCCCCCCCCGGGGACGGCGATCCCGGGACCTGCCTTCCAGCCTCCCAAAAGAGCGGGGCTGAGTTTACAGTATTTTGAAAAGTCCTCCCAAACGGAGCAGGGGGGGAAAAAAAAAAAAAAAAAGAAAAATCAAACTTAAAAAAAAAAAAAAAGTTGCCAGTACCAACCTGGGTCTCGAGGAGCAGAGAGGAGGAGGAGGAGGAGGCGTGTGACCTGGGAGAGCAGAAACTGCTCGGTCAGATTGCGTGGCTCGCTCTGTCGCGCGCGCTCTCCGTCTCTCTTTTCCTCTCTCTCTCTCCCTCTCTCAGTATTTTTTTTTTTTTTTACAGGGAATGCATTCTTTCTGAAAGTATCAAGACGGCGCCAGGCAGCTCAGTGTTCGCAGACAGCTGTGGCGCGACGCAACTTAAGGAGGTCCTAGTGTCATCCGCGCCGAGGGGGAGGAGCCTGGCGCTGGCGAGGAGGGGACAGGATCACTAGCACAAGGAAACTGCAACCCAAACCCGCTCCAGGACCTCACCCCCACCCCCCCCCCCGCACCCCTCCGCCCCTGCCCCCGCCCCTCCACTGACCGGAAGGGGGGCGCCGCGGAGGGCGGCCCGGGGGCGGGGGGGGGGCGGCGGGGCGGGTGGGCAAGGCCCGCCGGGTTTGGGGCGGAGAGGGGCGGGCAGGAGGGAATGCGCGCTCTGGCCCTTTAAATGTGGCTCCCGCTCCAGCCAATTCATTCCGGCCCAGTGGATTATTCCGTGCCGGGGAAACCGGCCTGCCCCATTCATAAAGTCAATTTCTACAGGCAGCCTTTCTTTTTTTCAGACTTTTCTTTTTTTTTTTTTTTTTTTTTTTTAATGACCAAACTTGTTTTTCAATTCAATCCGGTATTGGGGACGTTATGGATTTGGGGTTACGTGCCTATAAAAACCGACGAGAGAAAAAAAAAAAAAAGGTTTTCATGCCAAAGGACTTTGGGATTTGCCTCCCGAGAGAATTGCTTAAGAGCTGGGGGAATCGCGCAAAGGGAGCGAGCCTTTATTGGAAGGTGTGTGTTCCTCGGGTGGCCGCCGTGCACGGTTTCCCCAGCCTTTTGTGTTAGCAAGCCTCTCAAATGCACGCTTCAGCTGTCGTGCTTGGCCTTTCCAGACCTGGAATTTGCAGCCCCTGCGTGCTTCCGACCTGAGTGACCATGGTGATGGGTGAAGAGGAAAGGGACAGAAACAGGCACGCCAGCCAGGTCCCTCAGTACAGTGAGAGCGGCCGCAAAGCAAGAACTCGGGGCCTCTTTCCACTTACCCAACTTTTCCCTTCACCCCGCCCAGGGCCCTACTTACTCCGGCTCCCGGCGTTTTTCCCCAGCCGAGGAACCGGCCCCTTTCCAGCGACCCACATCCCGGCCGGCGGGCAGGACTGCGGCGACCGTCCCCGGACTCGCACCGCCCGGGCCAGGCAGCCTGGGGCGGAGGGGGTGCGGCTCCAGACGCCCCGGCGAGGGGGGCGGGGCGGGCGGGGCGGGGCGGGGCCGCGGAGGGGCCAATCAGCGGGCGAGGCTGCGGCCGGGCCGCGATTGGCCGGCCCCGCGGGCTCCAACCTCCCGGGCCTCTCTCGGTCCTTTGAGCCACTGCATCCCCTAGCGGCGCCCTGGCTCCTGCAGCCTGCAAGCCCGAAAACGCGGCCGGGGCGAGCAGGGGTCAGGCGGGAAAAGAAGACTCAGGTTCCACCCTCTCTGCTCACCCTAGGGCAGAGTGTGGGTTCTCCCGCAGGCGATCCCACGGCCGGCACTGAGAGCTTGATTTGGGGTTTTCTCTGAGCGGAAGCCATTATTCCCTCTTGTCTCCTCCACCCCATAAAATTCCCTGCAAACACAAAAAACTCGAAATAGAAGAGAGCGTCCCTAAAAGTAAGTTCCGGAGGTGGCTTTCATGAGATGAAGGAAAATCATCAGCATTCAACCTTAACGTGGGGTCTGTGTGTATGTGTGTGTGTTAGAGTGGGGGCGAGAGATGTCGTGTTTTAATACACAATCATTGTAGAAAGATTAGTAAAATTTATTTGAAATTAGTGGAAACGTGGGTCCTCCCGATCTTGGGTTTGGAGCTTCTCTGGAATCCCCGTCTTCTGAAATCTGATGTTTGTTAGAAATCAGGGTTGAGTTTCTAGATACGGGACAGGAAGAAAATTCCTAAATTAAACACACACACACACACACACACACACACACACACACACCGCCTCCCTCCTAATGTTTCTCCCGAGCCCATTTAGTTCCCGTTTATGAGAGCGGCCCAGTAAGGAAGCATCGATTTTTTTCTTCCACTCTGACCACTTCCCTCTAGGGCCGGCCAAGCTCCCAGCCTCTACTCCTGCACACGGTGCTCTCCAAACCTTTTAATTATTTAGTTTCTGTCTAACATTCAGCGGAAACCGCTTCATAAACAAGGACAGACCGACGCGCACACATTTTTGCTAAAAGTCCCCGAGATTTAACATTAAGGATGCAAGCAGAGAGAAGAACTGAAAAGCGCTTCTCCTCCGCGCGTCGGCCCCGGACCAGGAGACGCTAGACCCGGACCCCAGTTCAAAGTCACGCGGGGAATCCCAAACGTGGCTTTTTGGTCCGGAGACCTGGAAGCCACGGGGGGGGGGGGGGACGACGAGAGGGGGGGGAAGCCATCCTCGGGTGAAAACAGCTGCTGACGCCAGGACTTGAAAATGTTAACTTGAGAGCTTCCAACAATTTTAAAAGACAAAGAGAAAATATTTGAGAAAATGAGGCCTTCCGGTGTATCGGCGCCTCTCCGATAACGCACAAAAGTTGGGGGGCGGGCATTTATTCGTTTTAATTAAAAGCACCGAGTCGGGCTGCACCGAGATGGAGAGGCCCCCCCACCCCCTCCTCCCCACACCTTGGAAAAATAAAAGATCTTGAAGGCCCTTCTTGGTCTGGGTGGTTTGGAGCTGGCAGAGAGGCGTGGGGGGCTGCGGCTGGACGCCCGGTGTAATGGAGCCAGCCTGTAGGGGGTATTTAACATTTAATTCCCAGCCGGTCCGCCCCTGTTCCCGGACTGACAGTGGGTAATTGGGAAAGAGGACGTTGCTCTTTTGATGGCCCGCGCCGGCCAGTCTCGCCGACGCCACACTGGGTTTGACGTCACGGGCCCAGCCCCAGAGCCGGGAGCCCCGGGAAGGGGGGTGGGTAGGGAAAAGGAGGGGAGGGGGCTACCCGGCGGGGAGGGCCGAGGTCGGCCCCGGGACCCGTGGGGAAGCAGGGGGGGGGAGGGAGCGAGGCCGGAGAGACGCTGCAGCGCGTGGCCTGAGGCGGAGAGCCGGGCTGCGGGGGTCTGAGCCAGGCCAGGCGCCGGCCTGACCCGCCTCGCCGGCAAATGCAGGCCGGGCTTCCTCCTCCCAGTGCGGGCGGGGGAGGGGAGGGGGCTCGAGGCCGGGGGGAAGGGGGGGGGAAGGTGGTCCCGACTCCCCCTCCGCCGTAGCCCGCAAAGCCGATCCTGGCCTCCTGCAGAGACGCCTCAGCGCCCTCCTGCAGACCTGACGGCCCCCTCCCCGGGCACCCCGGCCCTGGCCGGGTCTCGCGGGTACCCCCTCCTCCCCGGGAGCCGCCGGCGGAGCGCCGGTGGAGGAAGCGAGGAGACCCAGGAGGATGCCGCCGCCGCCGCCGCTGCAGGGCCCGGGGCTGCTGCAGGGCCCGGGGCTCCTGCGGGGCGCGAGGCCTCCCTAACCAGGGTAAGGGGCTGTCGAAGGGCCTGGATGGCCGGGACCCCGGGGGCGAGCATCCCGGAGCCGAGCCAGCGACGCCGCAGCCACCGGCTCCGTCCCAGGAGCCGGGTCCCGGGGCCGCGCGTGGGGCGGCGGGAGCCAGTTGGGCCTGTCGGAAAGGTCAGGCCTCGAGGCGGCTGCTGGAGGCGTCAAGTTGAGTGGGGTGTGTGTGCCCTCTTGGGGAAAGGGTAAGAAATGGAGCCTAACTTTCTCTCCTCGGTTGGGGTAAGCTGGGGCACACACACACACACACACACACACACACACAGATGCCCAAGTACAGGTCCCTCCCACCCCCCCTCCCGGGAGCGCAGAAGCTCTGTCCTGGAGGAAGTGGGTCACCCAGTCCGGCAAGGGAACCGGAGCCCGCGACGCAGAGGGGAGGAGCGCGCCCCCAGGTTCACCCCTGGGGTCGCCGCACCCAGGGAGCAGAGATCCACGCGGCCAGAGAGCGTCACCCACCCGAGCCTGGCGACCGGCGCATCCAGGCGAGCTCCGCGGGGTCGAGGCGCCCGCGCGCTGCCCGCGGAGGCTCACCCGAGAGCCGAGGCTCACCCGAGAGCCGAGCCTCGGGGTCGAAGTCACAAAGTTACTAATCCCGCGCAGGGGGAGTGAGCGTGCTTCGCGCCGCCTGGGGCGGTCATTTGAGCGTGTTTACTTAAGGACTTTGCAAGCGGAGCGCGCGCGGAATAGTCGGATTTCCAGCGAGGCAGCAAATATTTGCAGGCAGGAGAAAGAAGCGGAGCCGGGCCGCGACGCCGCGTCCCTCCCCCCGGAGCCGCGGCGCCGGCCTGGGCGGACCCGGCCGCGTTGTTAAGACAGAAGTGAAGCCGGGAACCTGCGGGGCTGGGGGCAGGGAGGGCGCGGAGCTACAGCAAAGGCCAGAAATTGGAGCGCGGCCCCGAGGCCCCGGCGAGCCGGGGCTGGGGGAGGAGGAGTCCCTTCCCATTCCCGCTCGATCAATCTTCCTTGGCTGCGATCGGTCAATAAAAATGGTGTGAACCGGCCGCGGTGGCTGTACGTCTGGGGAGGAAGTGGAGGCCAGAGGTGCCGAGGCCGGCGCCGGCGCCCCACGCCAGCCGGGTCCGCGGCCCGCCGGTCTGCAGGCTTCAGGCCGGCGGCCAGTTCGTCTCCCGGAGCCGAGCGCTGCCCGGCGGGGCCTTTAATTGGGTGTCTCCGTTTTAATAGTGGCCATTGTTGGAGCAATTAGCGAGAGACAATAACCGCCAAGAGGCGTTTAATTCGATTCCTTGCGCTGGCTGCGCCCGGCACCGGGGCGCTCTGGAAGGAGAGGCCCGGCGGGGAGGAGCTGCTGAAGGGCCGGCTCCCGCCCCTGGTACTTGGGTCGGAGGTGTGGGGGTTCAGAAAGAGAGCAAGCAGGTCCTGGTCCAGGACGGAGAAACCAGTCCTGGGCCTCGCCAGCCCCGCGCGGCGCCTCCGGGGCGGCCGCGCTCGCGGGCCGCGCGCGTCCACGCTGCGACCACCGCGCGGGCTCCCCGATGCCTGTTCGGGGGGGGGGGGGAGAAAAGCAGAGAGCACACGGACGTGGAAGTCGGGCCCCCTTCCTCCGCAGCCCTATAGGGCCCCCACCTCGATCACCCAATTTCCTTCCCAATCGGGAAGAGAGAAGAACCCCCTTCTGGCGCGTACACACCTTCCCCTCCTCTGCCTCGGCCCTGGGATTAGGTTACCGTGGCCGGGCGAGGATTTCCACGGGTTAAGAGAATAGCACAGGTAAAGCTGTATAAACAGCTCGCAGGCTGCGGGGCGGGAGGGTTACGCCGCGGACGCGGCCCAAGGCGCCACCGCCGGGCGTGAGCTGCAGCGGTGAAATGACCAAGGAGCCCGCTTGGACGCGGCGCCCCGGGACCGCGCAGGCTAAACACGTCCTGTGTTGTATCTGTATCTCTGCGGTTCCCTTCCAAGCCCCCTTTCTCTTTCCCGCGTGAACTGAAATGCAGAGAGCGGGGAGAGGAATAAAGGAGATGAGAAAGCAGCAGGCGTTGGCTAGTGCCCGCCGTTCTCCCATGAAACACGGCGAGCAGGGGACCCCAAAACTCACTGTCAGAGGGCAGATGCTGGAGGTGGAGACGTCAAAGGGGAAACCCACGGGAACTCAGGCGAGGAGAGCCCCGACCCGCACAGCTCGCTTCCCGGTTCCCACGCCCACCCGCCTCAGGCCTAGAGTCTACCTGCCCAGGGGAATGAGCCATCGCTTTAGGGGTGGTAGGTGGTTTAATTTACTTTTTTTTTTTTTTTTTTTTTTTGCTTATTCATCTATCACCATTTAAAACTCGGAAGGAAACCCGCCCAGGCCAGGAGGAGCGGCTAGAGCTGTGGAGAGTCAAAGAGAGGAGATGCGCTCAGAGATTACCCCCTCCTTCTCCACTCCCCACCACCAGGCTGGGCCCTCCAGCTTCGGGGGATCCTGGCCCTCCCTCTGCCACTACCCTCTTCTCCTCGGGTGAGAAAAACCCCGATGGTATCGAGATTAAAGAGAAAAAAAAAAGGGGGGGGGTAGGTAGGGGTGTAGCGGAAAGAGGGAGGAGGAAGGGAGAAGGCAGGGGATTTCTGTGTTCGAGTGTAACAGGGCACAGGCCGGCGGGTGGCTGTGGGGGCAGCCCCGGGGTTGGGTAGGAGAGAAAGACCCCCCCTGGAGAACGATTAGAAAGGCCTTGACGTCACCCCGAGGAAGGGCGCACCTCCCAGCTGCCCCTCCTTCCTGGCCCCGGTGGTCTGGGGGACAGGTGGGAGACCCAAGAGAGGACCAAGGGGCTCCACAAGGTCGCATGGTCCCTCCCGAGCCATTAGCCGTTTATCCGGCTCCCAGCAGTACCACTGGCCCTTAGGTGGAAGCTGGCTGTGTCTAGACTCAGGCTCTCCTTCCCTGGGGGGTCCTCAGGCTACTTGGCTGAAGCATCCCGCACTCCCCAGGAAGGGAGCACCACGGGGGCCAGGAAAGCGGCAGCAGTGCGGGATTCACCCGTGTGAACTCCAGGCCCCAGCATTTTTCGGAGGAGAAGGGGTGCACTTGGGACACCTGCTCTGTTCCCCGCAGCACCCTGGCCCTCCCGGCTTGTTGCCCCCAGGCGGCCCCAGCTCGGGGAGCCTCAGGCTCTCACCTTAGCCGACTCTCGGGCCACTAAAATTTGGCATTCCAGGAGGAGGGCTTACTCTTGGAGCTATTGTGCTGTTTCGGTTCTCTGGATTAGCCAGGAGACCGGGGTGTGCTTGTTCCTGGATCACGGACGGTGGGCTTCCAGGAAAGGAGGCAAGTGGGGGTTCGTAACAGGGAGAGGGAACATGGGGAAAGATCATTTCCTTCAGATCAGGAGACAGGAGAGGCCAGCTTCTAAAAGCACGAATTGTTCACATCTTCCTTCGGACACGCTGGAGACCCCACTGTAAAATCTGTGAACTCAGGGCTCTTAGGAGAGGGCTTCCCGCAGACGCCCTCCGCCTTCTCTTCCCTCCGGAGCTGCACCCACCCGCCCGCCTCTCCCCGCCAGGCCCCTGGCTCGCGCTTGGCTCTCCGCCGTCTGCCACCTCGCGGACCTCAAGCAATTTGTTATATAAAACAAAACAGCAACCACACACATGAGCCTGCAGACCCACAGCGACGGACACCCAGGGAGACCTCTGCTCTGGCACCCTGGGCAACGCATCTCTTTCTCGCCCTTCCAGCGGCCGCACCCCGCCACCACCTCTAGTCCCCGCTGCCCAGCGGCCACAAGCAAAGCGGGGTTCGGCCTCCAGCAACGAGGCTTCCCTGGCCGGATCGCTGCGGCTGTTAAACCTCCCTCCGGTTACCCCAGCCATTAAGAAAAAGGTGATCGAGAAATATTTGGTCCACACACAAAGACATCCAGCGAAACGAAGGCACATTTCTGTGTGAAATGGCACAGGAGCGGAGGAGACAACGCGTCAGCGCAGCCCAGAAATGATAAGAATAACCGGGTGCCAGAGAACAGTGGGCTTTTGGATTCTGCCCCCGCGCACCTTATCAGGATCCCTAATTCCCTGCCACCTCCCGGGGTTCCCAGACACAAACCGCCTCGAATTCCCAAAGAGGGGGCTCTCAGCCACCCGCCTCCCACATACCTGCCCCTTCCTTAGGCTCTCTCTGTGTGGCCCTGAGCTGCTGGGCGGCCCAACACAGAGGCTCCACCAATGAGTGCCCAGGGGCGCCCACTCCCATCCACTCACTGCACCCCCGACTTACCCCCACCTCATATATCAGCTGAAAAAAAAAAAAAAAGCCAGGGTGGAAATATCAATAAAGGAAAATGCAGCTTCCCATGTCTCTGGGCTTTTGGCTGGATAGACTAACCCCAAGCCCGGGTCTCCCCGTGGCTGGCAGAGGTCCCTCGCATAGAATGGAGGGTGGGCCCGCAGGGATTGTGAACCAGCGAGCACTCACCCGTCTCCTCAGGACCCAGCTGGTTTCTCAAGCCAGGAACCTTAGGCCTGGCGGGGAGGCTGTCTGGAAGCTGAAAGCTGGACCCCCTGCTGGATCCCACAGGGGAATCAATAATGGGAGCCCAGGGGACCTGACCCCGACCTGGGTCTTGGTCTGGCTGACCTGGACACCATGACTCTCTCCCATTCCAACGGGCAGCAAACTATCCTCTTCCTTAGAATCACACAAATGTTTAAAGGGTTTCATGGGAAGCCTCCTCCCCACACTCAGCCATTTGGGTGGGCCCTGCAAGCGTCGGGGCGCATCAACTTGGGTTGACTCCCTGCCCCAAGCCAGGCACGGGACCGCCCCACCTCCCCAGCCCCCCGACACACACCCCTTTTCCGCCACAATCGCTAAGGGGTGGAGAGCTGCACGTGCTACTTCACTACTTGCCGCCTGCGAGTCCATAAGCTCCTTCCTGTCGTGACCCCGGTGTCCTAGTGAACGTGGGCAACAGGGGGGGAGAAAAGAGCCGAGAAACACGGGAACCGAACCGAGGGAAGATCCTGCGGGTTAGACTCCTTTCCATCCCCTGCCCTAGATGGAATCACCGTGTGGGTTTCCCCGGGTAGTGTCCGTGAGGAAGAAAACGTATAGCAAGGCAACTCTCAAGCAACTTCCCATGCATTTTAACCGATTTCTGTCTTTGTAGGGAACTGCCTCTGACTGAGTGACTGTGGGTCCAACGTCCCAGGAGAAAGTAGAGTTCTCGCCCCTCTGCCCGTCCTGCTCCCCCACGACCCTGGGCGCCCTCTCTTCTGGGCCGTGGTTTTCTCACTCACCTCAGGGTGCTCCTGGAAGCAAAGGTGCCTCCCGGCCACCAGCTCTCCAGGGATGCCAGATGCCCACACATCTGGATTCCCACCTTGTATCTCACAGTACACAGCTGTTTCTTTAATTGTATGCAGAGACAATGAGCCTAAGCAAACACTTGTAAGCAAAGGGAAATAAACACCCAATCCGCACTGGAACCTTCCGCCCGCCACCTTTGGGAGAAGGCTGAGCTGCTTTTCCCTAATGAGTTCTTACCCCCAATCCTCTGCCCTCCCTGAAGTGGAAAGCGTGTGTCCAGCCCTTCCGGAACATCCCCGCCGTCTCTTACACTTCTGTTTAGTTTTTCTTCGCATGCTTAGCTCTACTAGCTTTTTCCTCCATACAAGGGCACACACACACACACACACACACACACACACACACACACACACCAGCTCGCCCAAGGTCATTGCAGAAAGCCAAAGACTGCCAATGACCAGGAAAAAAAAGACAATAAAGACTGGGGTCTAGTTCACTTTCTTCCAGGGGCAGCTGTCCCTTTGGAGTCGAGACCTCCTCTTAATTCTCTCCACGTGGAGCGGGAAAGCGAGTGCGGAGTTAGAAGATAACGATATTCACTGACCTGGGTATTTTGCTCCCGCGGGCCAGCTGTGTTTTATTTATTTATTTTTTCCTGACTTGCCGGAGATCCGAAGGCAGAAATGACAGGCAGACTTGGCCACTGTTGTCGCCGCTGCGGTCCTGACCGCCCCAGCTGCTTAGGGCATCTCACACAGCCTTCCAGCCAGCAGTAAAACCTGGGTGATGCGCATCCTTTCTAGGAACCCCCTCCCTCCGCCTTCTTCTGCTCACTGTAGAGAGCGGAGCTCTTCCGGGTTGCGAAGGGGGGAAAGGGAGGGAGGAGAGAAGACGAAGCGAGGAATGGATTTCACCCCCTCTTGCAAACGCGCAAACCGCACATCAGGGGTGTGTGAAACCGGCAGAGGTGGGGGGGGGAGGGGGGAAGACTGCCTGAAATGTGACCAGCCCCTGGCGCCTCACAGCCCACTGTCTCTGGCAGGATTGGAATCAACACTGCAAATGGCATCGGTAGTGTTGACTGGGTCCTTACCTACCGTAGATATAAAAAGCTTTCGCCGGAGTCTCTGCCTCCCATTTTTGGAGCACGTGGGGATCCAGTGGGAGCGTCTAGAGGTACAACCCGGAGCCACCACAGCAGGGCCTCTGCCTTTCAGCGCTCTCCCTCTCCCTTCTGACTTCCTCCTGTGTATGCAGACGCCTTAAAGATGCCTGTGCTCTGCCTTCATCTGTCTTGGGTCCGGCTGGCCAGTAAAAGTTTAGGAAAGAATGGTTGGGAGTAGGCTCTAGGCTCGTTGGTGCCCTTTGTCCCTCCTCACGGTGGGCATAAAACCATTTGGAGGTAGGCATATCCGTGCACGCACTAGGCACACGTTTGGGGAGGAGGCTCTCTAGGGGTCCCAACTCTTTTTAAGAAGAAAAGAGGGAAATTTACCATGTAGGAGAGTGAGATAAGGGAGCGAGCATCGCAGGGAGCGCCGGGGAGAAAACGTCTGGAGGAAAATCACCCTATTCGTCTACCCGCCAGCCCCAGCGCCCTCCAGCCCTCTCCTTCAAAGCCCCCTCTCCTGTACCCTCTCTGCTTCTGCTGGTGGGGGATCAAAAAATAATCCACGGAGGGGGCAATCTGTCGTAAATAAATTCCTGCCAGAGTGAAAGGAGGCTCCGTGAACACCGGGGTAGAAAGGTCAGGGTCCATTTGTTTTGACAGGTAGCGTTTTCCCTTCACAATATTTACACGACAAGAATGTGGAGACTGGCTTTAACAATAAATACATCTTTGGGACGAAATAAAACACAATGTATCCATTGCTGGGCCAGGAAGTCAAGAACTTTCTTGCGCGGGACCCAGTTCGGTAGTAAGGAGCTGCCCGGCTTAATGCTGCCAGGGGGTTGGGGGTGGCTGGTCCTAGGGGGTGTCAGTGGGGGGCGGGGAGAACGAGGCCATTGGCCAGCAAGGGCAGAGTGAGGGGTGCAGAGGTGGGCCGCGCGCCCCGAGGAGGGAAGTGGGGAGAGTCGAGGGGTGCGGCGTGAGCGTCACGCTGCAGCGCCGGGTACGCAGAGGAGGTCAGAGCCGCCCCCTGGCCGGGGGGCGCCGGGTTCGGGCTCCGCGAGGGGCCTGCGTCCAGCCGCTCGGAGTCCCTCGACTGCCACACGCCGCCCAGCGGCCCGCGCCCTCCGCCCCCACCCTCGGGGGGTGGGGGTGGGGGTCCGGCTCCGAGCCCAGGGTGGGGGCAAGCCGGCCGGGAGAGGGGAAGGGGTGTCCCCGCCACGGAGGGAGCCCCGAAGCCCACCTGGCGTCACCATCTCAGCCCCTCCCCGCCCCCCTGCCCGCTCCCTCCCGCCTGCCGCCACCCAGCGGCGGAGCCAAGTTCTCGGGCGCCGGGACGCGGAGTCTGCAGGGCTGCGCGTCGCGAGGACGCAGGACAGAAGGTCACCCGCTTGCCAGCTTGTACCCAACCTGTTGCCCCGGCCCCTTCCAGGTGGCTGCGCGGCCCGCGGCGAGCGGAAGGTGGGGGGGGGGGGAACGGGGGCGGGGCCCCCCCCGCGGGCTCCCCGGTCCCCCCTGGCTGCTCCTCCAGCGCTGCCTCGCGGGGAACAGGGGGCCCCCGGGAGACGGCGACAGTCCTCTCCTCGGCCCGGGCTTGAGCTGCGCCCCGACCCACGGGGCCTCCGCACTGGCGTCCCTGTCCGGGCTCCCCCCCTCCTGCCCCTCTCCCCGCGCTTCCCGATGGAGAGTCTGGCTCCCTCCCGGGCGGCGGCACCCCGCCCTGCGCCCCCCAGGGACCCCCGCCCCTCGGCTCCCCCTCCCCACCCCTCCCACCCGCAGCCTCGCCGCCCGGTCCCCCGCCCGGGTCCGCGGGTCTGGCGGCCCCTCTCCGCGTGCCTTTTCTGCTGACGCGGGCACTCGCTAGACTCCGGGTCTAAAGTGACGCTTTGGTCGGGGACGCAGGAACCTGATCGCGGGCTCCGCTCCCCCCCATCAACCCCAATACTCCCTTTAGCAAAGGAAGGCTTCATTTTAGGAAACTCGACTGCCAAAGACACTCGGGCTTAGAAGGACTTAGAATAGGACCGATTTTCAGTTTATGGTCAAGCCGGGCAAGATTCAGGGCATTTCTTGTCGCGATGGAGTGGACTTGGGGGGCGGAAACGGCTGCTGATTTGGGATACAAGCGCGAATTAGTACTGGAGGGTTGGGGGCGGTTGGATGGTGGGGGGTGGGGAGGGTGAAGAAAGGAGAGAATTTATCCTGAGAAATGAACAGTGAGGGAAAGACGCTGGTCGCTCAGTGAGACGCTGAAGGTTTATTCTTGATTCGTGGACACCGGCCCTCGCACACTGTAAAGATGTTGCTTTAATGAAGCTACAAGTCGCTTTCTGAATTTTAAAAGCTACCAGTCCGGCTCACTGATTCGCGGTTCAGGTCTCTGTGTGTGTGTATATACCTGTGAGAGAGTGAAAGAAAGAAAGAAAGAAAGAAAGAAAGAAAGAAAAAGAAAAAAAAGAAAAAAAAGAAAGAACCCCCCGCCCGTTATTCAAGGGCGCTGTCTGTGTTCAGCGCTGAGGGGCAGCGGATCCCAGGTGGTCAAGAGCATGTCCTATTCTAACAAGTCTGAGGGGACAGGTTGCCTCCACTCCCAAGATGTCGGGACTCTCAAGGGAACCTTTGCCTTGAGGAGTCCTTCTTTGGTGAGCACCAGGAGCGTCAAGGCCAGAAGGCAAGAGACCCCCTCACACTGGGGGGTCCTCACCTATTGCCTGCACCCCGCGCCCACGTGCCCTGCTTCGTGGCTTCCCTGACTCCTTTTCCCCTCTCTGGAGCCCCTACCAGCGGCCTTTTAACCCCTTAACCCTGGGCAAGCGAGCATCCTCCCCCCCACTCTAGAATTCAGAGGCTGGAGGCAATCACGACACCCTAATTGGTGCCAGCACGAACTGCATTAAATCCTGTGCTGTGTTGGGCCACATTCCTACAACCTAAGGCATGTGATTGGATTTTAAGTATAAAAGGAAGTCACTGGGCATGTGGAGGTAGAAGACAGATCAGTAAATGACTAATGGTAATGGAAACACTGTCCCGGATCTCCGCCATGGCCGAGTAGATAGGAGGTTCACCTGTTGGATAAAGAAAAAGGAGACCCTGTAGGAAGAAAAAATCGCTGGCAGTATCTCCAATCTTTCTAAGGATATGTGGCGACTTAGAGTTGTTCGAAGCAGGGCTAGGGGAACCGTCTATTTATTCTTCCAGGTTTGCAACATCCCATTTCTTTTCCCTAAAACATAGGTAATAGTTTTCTCCCTGCCTATCGGTCTCCAGCATCATTCCCCTTGTCAATTTATCTACCTTCCTGGATGCACCCTCGGATTGGTTGAGTTCCTTCACACGTGCTCTCTAGCAGATGAAAACATGCTCCATATTAACCTGGGTTTAAAAGTTCCAATCTTTCCTTTCCACTCATTGAGTTTTGTTTTATTCTAAGTGTGTTAGGTTGGGGGGGGGGGGATTGGGAGGGTATAAAGGGGCCTGGGGTGAGGAAAACCAGTTCTTTCATTTTTCTTTTCTTTTCTTCTAACAGGACATTTTTTTTTATTAAGCTCAACTTTTAGGTCTGTGAATTTGCCTATGTTTCCGTGACCAGGAATTGCAGGCTGGTTGGAGGTGGGTGAGTGGGTGGGTGGTGCAGGGCCTGGGTGGTGTGGAACCAGGGACATCTCAAATGAAAGTTTCACAAAGCAGTGACTGGAAATTAAAAAAAAAAAAAAATCAGACCTATTCCACCCAGGCGCCCTAAATAAATAGCCCCGTTTGCAAATTCCTATCAATTATTACGTGATGGGAAAAAATCCTATCTGAAAATAAAGCACGTGGACGTGGAGAATTTTAATTAAATCTTACTGTGGATATAATAACATGGAAGTGATTTTTCATCCGGCGCTTGCCTGCTCACCAGTGTTTTATGGCGTTTTCTTGCCTCTGACTTTATTTTAAAATATTAGACGAGGTGGAGAATTATAAACGACTCTTTCCTTATCTGTACTGCTCACATATCCAGGATCAGAGGAGCTGATTAAGAAAGAAGTCAGAGGCAACGTTGGATTCATAATGATTTGGAATAATGAATCCTTATCTCTGCTTTCCAGATTATCTGCCTTTCAGCTCCCAATGTTTTGTTACATGGGATAATTTATTGCATCTAATACATCACAATGAATCTGATGGTAGAAAGTGATGGCCAGCGTTGTGAAAAGGGGGCCCTTATTTTTTATCCCGGGGCAATGAAACTGCTTTTTGCAGTTTTTAATTGGGAAAATATAAGGTAGATCTGATAAAAAAAAAAAAAAAGAGCTGGGTATAATCTTGCCTGCTCGTGCCTTACCACGCGGCTCTTTAATTACTGTGTCAATTTCAGGCTGAAATTAACAAGATCGACCTGAAACCAGCCCTTACTTTCTCTCCAGCACCTAGATCCTAATTTTTAACATGATTTATTTTTATGAAAAAGGAGATAATTAATCATAAACACTGACTAAAGCACAGAGCCAAGTTAAGATAAAATGCCATTTGCATCTTTATATAGAAAGATACCAATAATGTTAATTTTCCTGAGATTTCCTCTCTCCTCACCATCGCCTGCCCCCACACAGCTCCCGCCCTGACCCGCTCCCCACTCCAGCCTCATTCCAAGTAAACAAGGGGGAAAAAATCAATTTCAGGTTTCTCTTATTCCCTGCTCTCTTTTTTAAAGTACGTATACATTGTATATATTTATTTATATATTCAGCTCTTCTGGCTTTGTCTGTTAACACATGCAGGATGTGCACAGGGTCCCCCCCCCCACACCCCCAGGAGCACAGTGGTGGGTACCTGTTCTCCCAGATCCCCCCTGTACCTACCCTCACCATCTTCCCTCCATTTTGGAGCTGGAAAGAAGACGACACACATCTCATTTAATGGTTAATTAGTTACGATAATTGCCATTTTTGTTTCTTTTGTATTTTGCCCTAACGCCAAAGGAACAAAAGCCATCTAAACGCAACAGGCTTCACTCTCTGCCTGTTTCAGGAGGGATTTCAGAATCCAAGGCTACGCCGGGAGTCCCCTCCCAACAGCTAACAAGAGCAACCTCCCGGCTTCAGGAAGTAGAAGGGGCAGGAGTCACTGGTAATTTGTTCTTTAAGGTTTTTGTGCCTGTTGACTACTTTCTGGTTGCTTGGATTAAACAATCGTTGCAAATATGCAAACCAGTGAGAGGAGATTCATACATATTGGCTCTCCAATTGTTCCTCCTGACGTCAGATCCTAATTTCTTGGTAATTGGATGGCTTGTACCCGAATAACGCTCATCTGAATTTCTCTACCTTTCTCTAGGTCAAGGTAGATTTTGTACTGGGAGATGGGCAGGGTGGGGGGTAGGGGGGCAGGGTTTGATTTTTTTTTTTTTTTAAAGAATTCATTTCA